AAATCAGTAGTAATTAAAGTGAACCAAAAATACTGTTCTTCCCTGAATTATTTCAAAGAAACCACTAGACACAGTTACTGTGGGGTAACTATGAGTGACTCATCTGGAGACATGTGCTGACCACAGTAAATATACAAAATATTGAAAGAATGAAAGTCTCAGTTAAGTTTTTAACTTAACATCCACAAAGAGAAAGCTTCATAATTAACTCTCTTGTCTGACTGAAGACTGAGTTACTCTTCAAAAGAAACAGGACTTAGCCTATGTTGCAACTTTGGATCTGCTTTGTAGTCTGTTATAAATAAATCTTTTCAGACTTTGAGTTTAAGATACTAGGACTCAGAATGGTGAGGTTAGAGGTGTTATTGGCAGATGATTAGTAACAGGAGTGTGGTACCTGTTGACATAAGGAGTGATGTGTGTAGGAAAGAATGACCTGTGTCTTGCTCCTGGCTGATGGAGTAAATGAATTACGCAGAACACTTAGCTACCTCTTTGGACAAGAACATGATACATCTCTGCTTGGTACTGAGTAATCCTTGCCTTGATGATGATATATGTAATCCATAGGTAAAACACTCACTGTGACCTTTGGTTTGCCGATATCATTCCCTGAAAGAAGTGCATGAGTTGGCATGCTTGCCAGTTTTCCTTTAAAAAGCTCTCTGGAGCTGGGTAAGGGTCCAACTTGTTCTTTATTTTGGCAATGAATTGTCTATGCTTTCTCTTAATTCTTCTGCATCAGAAAAGCAGGTTTTATCCAGTGTGCTGGGAGGCTGAGGAAAAGATTTGCTAAAAATTACCTTGGCAGTCACCATTTGGGAGCATGATATAAAGAGCAAGACATAAATGTAATTTTACAAGTGGGTAATGCATGAAATGCTGGAAGTAGGAGTACAGATCTTGCTGCAGGCAGCAGTGACCACTGGAGCTTTTCTCCTAAGAAAAGCATAAAAGGAGCTGCATGATTCTTAGAGTAAGAAGCATCTCTAATATCTTAGTACATTTTCAAAGTAATTTCATCATCAGTCCATTCCATCTGTGAAGTGTGGAGACCTCAACTGAAATTCCTGTACCACTGTTCAGGATCAACTTCTTAATTTGGCCAGGTCAGTAGCATACTATGGTGAACCTGTTTTAAAAAAGAGTTAAGTAAATTTGGGAACAGAGCTCTGTTTACAGGATCATAGAATTGCTGAGGTTTCAGGGAGCTCTGGAGGTTGTGTAGCCAACCCTTTGCTCAAAACGTCTAGAGCAGGTTGCACAGGACTGTGTGCGGGCTGAGTTTTGAATGTCTCCAGTCTCTGGGGTTGGAGATTCCACTGCCTCTCTGTGTCACCTGTTTCTGTGTTGGACCAACATCACAGTAAGGGTTTTCTTCTGTTTAAATGTGGTTGCTTGCATTTTTGGTTATGCCTGTTTCATCCTGTTCTTTCAGTGAGTCCCTGAGAAGAGCTTGGCTTCATCTTCTTTGCTGTACCTTCTTTGTCACATGGGCATGCTCCTTGTCTCGGGTCAGCTTGTCCACTGAGAGTTCCAGGTCCTGCTCTACAAATCCATTTTGCTAGCCAGCTGCCTTCCAACCTCTGCTGGCACACAAGGAGAGAGAGGGCTAAACAGAAAGGTGGGAAGAAGAGAAAATGACAAAGAAAAAAGAGCAGGAGATGTGGTGGGAGGTGGGTGGGTGTGTGCAGAGGAATGCAGGCATCTGGAGACATTATGCTGGTTTACCTCAGCCCCATTATAGAGCTATTGAGGGAAGACCACATGTCAATCCACAAGTGCTTTTATACCTGGTAATTTAAGCAGGATTTAATGCATCCTGTTGTTATAAACAATGACATTAGTATGACTCAACAAGGATGTATGAGTTTTTTTCTCTGGGGTTGGTACACAGGCTTCCAGGGCAGCCAGGAATTTTCAATGGTCTTTGCAATGCCATAAACTGTGACGTAATAAGAGGTTTGGCTGGGCAGCTCACTGCCTTAGTAAGCTGTCTGTTAAGGCAGACTTTTCCAGAAATGGCCTTTCAGTAAAACATCGTGATGCCTAAAGGAACAACAATAGTTTTGTGACAAGCCACTAGTATGATACGTTAGTTGTGGCTGACATAGGTGAGAAAAGCCTTCTGTGGTCACTTATAGGATCACTAGCATTCCTATTTTAATCCAGTGGTAGTCTTCTAGAGTAGATGGTGCAGGACTACATTTAGGAGTCCTTTATGGTGGTTGTAAAAATGGAGGTTCTGCAATAAGGTAGATTCTGGTGTTTCATAACACATGTACACTGGAGCATAGAATTCCTTGGTGTTTGGAAATCACACAGGCATACTAGGAGTCTTTCTTAGCTCAGAAGTAGTTGCAGCTTTTCCTTATCATTATTCCACATCCACTGTGAACAGGTCACTCAAAGTCAATGGAGCAGTATCTGTCTACCCTTTGTACTTTTGTTTTTTCTTCCAGAAGATTGAAAATTGCCCAAGAAACATAAAATAGTTTTCCTTTTCAAAGTCACCAAAGGTATGATCCATGTGAACCATGCTAAGGTGTCAGAACAATGCCATCAAAATTCTCTTTACCTGCATCCAGGCACATGACAAGGCCTGGATGTCCCAGATGTCCTTTTTCTTAACCTGCTGCCTCTTTCTGCCGAGTCAAGTGGTCCCAGTCCATGTTTCAGTGAGGCTTCTCTTTGGCCCACCATTCAGAGAACAGCAGCTGCTCACTTCTGTCTGAACCCTGCTCTTGCAGGGTATTTTTTGCTCCTTAATGTTACAGGGAAACAGATTGATCACAAAAAGACTTGCTGGCTGCCTCTCCTGACCTACAAGTCCTGGTCCGTCCAACAGGTCTGAGATGGCAGGAGGGTTTCATGTGTTCAGACCAGATTTACTTATTTGAAGGTATTTGACATTATGTTTGATTTGTATTCTGAAAGAGTCACACAGTATTATGCCAAAATCCTAGCATTAGCATGGTGCAGCAATTGTAATATATAGTGGAATTTCAATGCAAGCTGCTTCCCCGTGTCAGTCTCTGCATGCTCCACTGTCATGAAGAAGGTGGATTTTTTTTTTTCTAAGTCCAGAGAAGTCCAAAACCATGGGTTGAATACAAATATAGCCTGCAAATGTTCAGATAACCTGCACAGTGTGGTATTTTTTCCTAGCAGTTTGCATTGTGGTGCTTAATTTGCAACAGTGGGTGTTGTATTTTTTCCCCATGTTAGGTCATGACTGACATTTTATCCAGTTCTTCTGAAGGACAAACCTTTTACTTCACAGACACCAAGTCCTGAAACTTGTTGGAAATAAAAGGAGAACCTGCGTAATGTTATTATTTGGAGATTCAAAATCAAGGATTCTAGGGTAATTGTGTGGGACCTTTCAGATCTGAGATCTATCTGCATCAAGGCAGAGACAGATGCTTTAAAACATGTCTCAGGATTGCAGTTTTTTCTGGCTCCAAGAATTTTAGGTTTGAATAGCAATCAAACCAGATGTAACGTGTGCCATCAGTGTGTGACATGCAGGGATGGGGAAGCTTTGTGTGCCATCCTTCATGGTGAGAATTTACATCAGGATGTAAGGCTACAAGTGGTTCATAAGTGTCACCAGTTATGATTTTTGGGCATTCTGACTGAAGTGAGTTAATTTTCAATTTTCCATAATTAAAAAGGGAGGGAGAGAGCGGGCTACAGAGGATATGTATGCTACAAACCACATATACACAAAGCTATACTAACCTTTGAAATACTCATAAACAATTTCTGTGGAGATCACGGTCTGTTTTTAAGCAGCAGGAGCCAAATGGAAAGCAGCAAATATGCATTCCCTTTTCTGTGCTGTGGTGCTGGAGCCAGGAGTGTCTGGTGAAATCTCATAATGAAACAGTTGTTTGAGCAGTTGAATACAGCTCAGCAAAGCAGCTCTTGAACTAACACAGGCTGCTTGTCTGCCAGTAAACAGATAATTACACTCGGTTGTTTAACTGAACTTTCATGAAAACTGCAATATGGTTTTTGTAAAATCCACCATGACAATGTGTTCTGCTTGTGGATCCTGCATATAAGGATCAAGATATTGGGATGGGGTGTCAGCTACAGAGGTAATGCTCTATATGCTGAACAACCTGCAGTGGGGAGTCAAGCATCTATAAGTGACTCCCTGATAGCTTTCATAGAGGAAAACTATACCGTATAAGCAGAGAAGCTGCTGCTTGGCTTCCACAGGTCCTTTTGTTTCAAATGACCAAATTTAGATACCTGGAAGGCACTGCAGCTCTGGATATGTTTGAGGAATGTCACTGAGATTGCTTGAGTAGTTAAAAAAAAATAAAAAAAATCTATGACTGAATTTTTCTTATGTCCCACTAATTAATTTTGTTCCTGAAAACCACTGAACAGTGTCCAGGGACACTTTTTGGGAAGGTTTTTTCTTTATTATTACCTTGATTGCTGAATATAAATCTTGGCCACTCTGTCAACCTCCAGTTTCTCAGATCAGAAGCGTTCTTATTCTGAAACTAGTATTTAAATTGAATTTAGTCTCTTTCCACAAGACTCAACCTGTAACAGATAAATTAACAAAGAAAATGACAATTCAGAGATGCAAGCTGTGCCATGTTTTTTTGTTAAGTGTTTGAATTTCATAAAATTAGGAGCATGTTGTGAAATCTGTAGGATATGCACATATGGAAGGTGACAGTCTGGAAAGTCTGAATCTGCAAAGAAATCCTAAAGAGTCTTTTACTTATACTCCCAAAAATCAATAACCTACAGAAACAATGTGGTCTGTAATCCATTACACTGAAAGCTCTGGAGAGCAATAGGAGCCACATGGCACAGTGCCACATGTATTTAAATTGAATGTCTTATAAAATGAGATGAATAAACATCTTGGAATAACACTCCCACTTCTGTAAATTTGCAGGTTGCACCAGCTGGCAGATAAAAAATAAGAAAGCAAGAACCTGGAAGAGTTTTGAGCACCAGGAAGGTCTGAACCAATGGACTGTATGGATATAGATATGTTTGAAGGCATCTGCTCTTCCCATTACAAGGTAAGGCACAAATGGATTTCTCTGCTGGTTTGTGTCTCTTCATTGCAGTGCAACTCCCTTTTGTGCCACTGCACAAGATAATAGTGGAGGTGTTCTCCAAAGCTTGTTCAGCCTAGTGGCTGACTGCTACTAACTATGGCCAGTTATTAATAACATAAATGGATGATATGCAGACCCAAAAAAGCCTGAAGTTTCAAAAGCCAATGATAAATTTGGATCCTCAGGGCCTGTAAAATTTGAAGTTTTATTATATGAAGTATCTGTTCAGATTTCTCTACAGGTTGTCTATTTTTAACATGTGCTAATAGAAGACCTTCCTGCTCACCTAAGGCATCTTTTTTATGTGCTTATTAATTACTGTAGATTGAAGTAGACTTGAAACCTGTACATAGTGTAGCAGCTGATCAGGAGAAAAGGTCACTAAACTCGATGCCAGAAAATGTCTCTGTCTGGAGATGCCAGTTGTGCTATTTTCTTTGTATAGTTTCAGTGTTTCACTTTCTGGATTATTACATGGTTTAAAACATGCTTAATTTTCCTTTTTTTTCCCCCCTACCAGTAAAAAGAATTACTTATTGGTCTAAGCTGAAGGTGGTGGAGAGCTTGATAGATTTGCTGGATATCTTTTGTCTGATGCCCAGATATACTTTCACTTACTCTGAATGTTTACTGAGTTGTTTTTAGGGAAAAAACACAGTACAAAACACAGATTTTCAAAAAGCGACTTGAAACTGGTAGAAACACTTGAGAAATACATGAACTGAACTTGTTTTAAAGTAAAATTTCTCATTTTTGAGATGATGTAGCTCTGCATGTTTGGGGAGCGGATATGTGGGACTTCTTCATATTTTAACAATTTGGATCAACCCAAGTTTGCTACAAAGCAAATGCAAAACCATAGCAGCTCTGTGTTACTCAGGGGCTCAAATCAGGCAGCTGAGCAGTTGGAAAAAGAGGCAGGTGCATCTGGGCTTAGCTGATCTCTGCTTTAACCCACAGAGGCGGAAGAGAGGACATTCAGCTCTAGTCAGTGCAACAACTAATTTCTCCATTTTCACCAGCCAGTGTTAAATGATAAGGGAACAATCCTGTGCAGTGCACTTCCATTGCTTCTATCCTATACAGATATGCCCACCAGTGTTACCAGTCTGCCATTTCCACAAGTGTGAGATAACCAGTCTCCTCCTTTTGTGGAAGAACTAAATTGGAGAGGTGGGGAATGTAACAGACTGTGGCACTGCCTCCTGTAGATATTGGGGGGGCTCCCTTACATGCTGAAATAACAGGAATGTCATGTATAAAGTATTCAGAAAATGCAAAGATAAGCAATAGCAAATACAACTTAAAAGGAAAAACACATCCAAACTCTCAAGTACTTGAGACGTTCCAGTAATTTTCCACAACTCTTGTTAGGAAGGAATGTACAGAGATCATAAAAAATCTGTAGGATCTAGTCTAGATAGCAGACACTTCTCTAGAGAGTTTTATTTCCTCTACCAGATAGGTGTGTAACCCCTGGTGTCCACACTCAAGTGGCCCAGTGGAATCTGTATTGCCACCAGTTGTTGCCAGCTCCCACAAATATAAATTCCTGTCTGTGCTTTCTTGTTTGAACACCTTTACACAAGGTGTATGCAGGGGGGGCGGGGAATGACAGCTTTGGTTCTGCATATGTGAAGGGACAATGCCATTTCCTGTGCCACCTTGGCTGCTTTAGTCATGTCCTTTTCTGGATCAGAGCTTCTGGGTTTGTGCTTCTTGGCACAGCAGGGAGCCCAGCCTTGGACAGGGCCTCTGGCTGTTGCGTGGCAAGTAATCCTTCCAAATAGGATTTGCATTCTTGCAGCAGCCGTTCTGGGGATAGAGAGTGAATACATGGAGGCAAATTGTGCTTACTCAGACATAGCTCAAGCCCAGCCATTCAGAACACCAGTCGATGACAGAGTTGCACGCAAATTGAGTATCTGAAAAGAACTTGTACTAGTGGCTAACAAAAATGTACAGGGTCAGAGTATTCTGCAGTGTCCTAGTTAACTGGATTTATTGGTGCTGCTTCACAGCAGAAATGTTGTTAGAGCCCCAGAGCTGCTTTGTTACTTTTCATTTGCCAAAGGCTGTCGTCCCTGCAGTGTTGCTGTGTGGAAATGTGAGCTTGCAACTCAGCTACCTCTGTGGACGGTCTTGGTCTTCACCTAAAACTTCATTGCTCTTTCAGTGCTGTGCACTTCTTGTTTTTAAAGCATCTGAGATGATCTACTATAGTGACTCCCAGATTGGTATTATTATATGTAGTATAGTTTATATAGTGTATGTTGCATAGTGATTCTTGATGATAGCCTGCAGCTGCTGGATAGAATAAATAACTGGAGGTAATAGTGGCTTAAATCAAAGCCAGGGTTTGAATTCCTGAGCTTTTAAATTGTGGTTTATTTGTGGGCATTATTCTTGTTGGCCGTTTGGCTGTGTTTATCTGGTTTTTGGCTGAGAAATTATTGAAACACCAAACAAAGTTTAGGAACTGAAGGAGAAAACAACCTTCTGGTTTATACCCAGCACGGATATTCCAATATTATGAGAAGCTATATGAGTTTCAGTTAATATTCATTTCATGAAAATGAAAGCCTGAAAACCTCTGAAAAGTCCTAGATTAGAAAAGTTAAAAACTGAAAAAACATTTTCTTCAACTCATCCAAATATTTTATAGCTCATTTTGTTGTGGGTTTTTTGTTTGTTTGTTTCCTTTGTAGAGCATAAGGATGTGTTTTTCCTCCATATTGAAGAACTGGTCATTTTTAATTGAAACATTTATTTTTAAACTAAGGATAGCTGAATCAAAATGAGTTCACTTTGCTAGGAGTTTGCAGTCTAGTGAGACTTCCTTATATTTAAATTTTAAAAAAAAAATCTTTTGCTAATAACTTAGTCCTGTCTTTTTCCTTTCTGGTGTACTGAATATTATGTTCCTTTTATTGATCACTTTTCTAGTAGTGCTAAGGCACCCCAGGCCTTGATGAGGCCTCAGTTGTTCTGCATACTGTGTTGGGTCCCACATAAACTGCAAATGCATCTTTCTGCAAAAGGTATATGATCAAAGAGGTGAGAAAGATTAGATGGGTATGACCCAGGAGCATAGGGACAGTAAGACATTTTTGATCAGCATGGTAAGCAGTGCCTTCAGGAACCTGCAGGCAGCCATTTACATATACAGCTCTGTAGCCTTGAGGTGATGGTGTTTTAAGGTGGTGGAGAACCAAGGCATTTCATCCATTCAGGTGGGGAAGGATCCGAAGAATTGCACATCGTGTCACTATAGTACTCCCTCTATGCTGATTTCATTTGAATAAGAGCAGTTTGATTTAAATCAGCTTGGAAATGGGAGCAGGTTTTTGGCAGTGGGGGGAAGCCTTTTCCTTTTGGAAGTGAATGTGACATATAGCTTGCCTGTCCTACTGTGTAATTTGTCCTGACATTTGCTGGCACAATAAGTTCTTACTAACTGCAGTGACATTTGCCCCGTGTGACATAATTCGGAACACTTTTCATAATACTTCCACTTGAACTGAAAGCAGCCAAACTGTCTTTTTGAATTTCAGCCCTCTTGATCCCTTTTCCCCAGTGATAAGTTCTGCCTTGCAGTGTTTCCCAGTGCTGCCTGAAGTAAAAAGATGAGATAGCAGCTAGCAACGCCAGGTTTTTCCCTCAAGAGCATGCTAGAAGTCACTGATCCTTTGCGAGCTACATCCTGAAGGAGTTAGCTTCATAAGTCAGCCCTTACAAAGCAGACATTAAGATGCAGAAATAAAAACAGAGCCTCCTAATAATCAGGTCTGTTTGTTCTTGCTTCTACTACTACTAACACTGGTCACTAGTAACAGAATATTGTATTCAAAATCTGTCAAAAGCAAAATTAAATGAACAAAGATCACAGTCTAAACTCACAAAAAGCCTTTTTTTGGTTTTGATGGGGAATTGTTTCAACTTTGTTTTTAATTTGTTTCCAAATGGAAAGAATTCAGCATTCTTTAGTAAAGAATACTAAACACTTGTTGCTTATTCATTTATTCAAGAAACATGTGAGATGCAGCAGCTACTTCTTTGATGATTAGGTGGAAAATAAAGTTGTTTTGATAGCGTTTTGTTCATGTTGATGACACTGAATATACACAATTCACTCCACTTGATGATCTGGCCCTGACAAGTTTGATTACTATTTCTAAGAGTAAATGACAGTGTATCTTTCAGGGCAGTAGACAGTGGGAAAGAAAAATCTCTTGGGTACAGTTAAATGTTGTCAAGTGTGGTGGGTAATTCACCAGTAAGTGGAGTAAGTTTGGCATTATGGTCCTTGTTCAGTATCTGGTATGGAAAAATAAACTGGTGTACTGTGTAAAATCAGGCTGTGAAATCTGATAAAAAGATAAACTATCTATGAGCCTAATCTGGCTGTGCAGGATGTCATAGTCCTCTGGTTTCTCACCAAGCATAGAAATGAAAGCTGGGAGACTTTTAGGTATTTAATTACTCAGCCTCTGGTTCCTTGCAATCCATAATGAGCCATAGTTTTGAGGACAACCTTGTATCAGCTCTGTGGGGTGGGGAAATGCCCTTATCCCACCGCCCCCCCCCATACAGATGGCCACCGAGATTAGCCCAGGATCATGCAAAGCAAAGAACTAAATTCTACTTCTAAAACTAAGCACCAGACCTGGCTATGCTCTTACATCCGTGGGCTGATCTTTCTGCAGAATGACTGGGCCGTACCACACCTGTCCTCAGGTTCAGGAGGTAAATTTCAGCTGTGCATTTCTAGGTCAGATTTAAAGTGAGTAAAAAGGTCACACTTCAACTCTTTGCTCTTCAGGAAGAGACCTGAAAATAGTAAATGGAGTACAGAGAGCTACAGAAATTCAAGAGAGACTCAGTTTTCAAGAAGCAGGCCACACTGAACTTTTAAATTCTAATCTGTCTGCAAAGGTGAAATTGCAGCTGAGATAGCATCA